AGTTATAACCAAGCAGTGGTCAAGTCCACTGACAGGTCTTAAAAAGCAAGTGTTGGCAGGCGAGCATGTTGGGCATTGTCGAAAACTCCAGAACTCATTGGCAAGAGTATGTGCATGTAATGACTTGTTTACAATACAATAATACACAGTTACGTGACACAATAGTGTTATCAAAATTTCAGTGCAAAAAACCCCACAAATTTACACTAAATTATTAAATTTAAGATGTCATTTAAAAAAAACATTTTATTTTTTGAAATGGTGTGAATTAAAAAAAAAAATTAAAGGGTTAAAAAAAGTAGATTTCCAGGGGAACGCTGAGTAATTTTTTTTGAAAGGGGACAGTGGGGCCAATAAGTTTGAGAACCTCTGGATTAGACTATTCCAGACACAGTATTAGTGAGGGCTGATGATGCATATGAATAAAATACTTTGGTGTTGTAATTAAGGGTGGAAGATAATAAGCATTTTTGTAACACCAGGCACAGTGTTAAGCACTTTTTACAAGTGTTTTCTCATACTGATCCTCACAATGATCTTGCGAGGAAGGTGCTATTATTATTCCCCTTTTATAGTTGTGCAAACGGAGGCAACTAGAGGTCAAGTTACACATGTTACACAACTATTGGTAGCAATGGTGGTGTTTTTGTCCTTTGTTCTTGAAGAAGACCATGACATCAGGGAGATGATGCCATGGCATACAAGTAAATTGGATTTAAGTGAGGGAGAGCTGTGCAAAGTCACCAGCCTCGCTTTCTCCTCTGGAGCCATCTGGGTCCAGCGGCAAGACATAGATCAGGATTGGAGATAACCCTGGATGCAATGGGAGACCTTGGCCTTTTTAAACTAAAGTCCTTCCCAGGTCTCAGTTTGACAGACAACGCCCGTTCGGTGATTAAACCTAAGTAAGAAATTATTCCGATTTTATAGCTGAGAAAACTGGGGCAAACAGGTGAAATTACTTGCCATGGGTTACACAGCTAATGTGCCTGAAACTATATTTGAACTTAGAACCTCCTGAGTCCAGGCCAGGCACTTGATCCACAGGACCACCAGCTACCTCTATAAAGTACGTCTTAAATAAAACAGAAAGTGACAAAAAGTCAACCAGTTTTGATCACATGATTTTAAAGGATAAAAGGTAGGTCCCTGGCTCCCAGCTTTCTCCCCTCATGGCAGAGGTGGAAGGCCACTAGGACAGGATGTCATATACATTGTTAGTCTCAGTACCAGATGTTTTTGCTTAACTGTTTTTCTTTGACACAAGAAAGAGTTCAATCTGACAGAAGGTGGGACAATAATACTGTAAAGACAAGAGGAACCAATAAAACTTTTTTTAAGTACAGTTATCTCTTTCATATCGTGAGGCTTAGGGGCACAGTGACCCTATGATCAGGAAAAATCCATGTAAAATTTTTTGGCCCTCCCTTGGTACCAGAGAAGAAGTCTGAATGTTTTCTTTTTTATGGAGTGTTTACAGTACACCTTATTATAAAATCTGGATTTGGTCATAGGCTCTGTGTCATCTGCTGTCCTTCGTGTGTTGTCTACGGCTTCTGCAAAGCTCCCAAATAATTCCCATTTAATCTCTAATGCTGTCCCGCAACATATCAAAATTGCGATGGGGAAAGCTGCAATGGGGAAAGCTGCAAGGGATAATGATAGTGGGTTGCAGAAGGGGTTGCTCAGGCTCTGCACCGTCCTTATTGGGCATCTTTCTTGCTCAGGATCCTTCCCTAAGGTCAACAGGCTCTATCTTGTTTGCAAAGCCAGGCCTGCTACCTAGAATGGAATCTAGAGCTGAGTAGGACCTAAGGATTACCTAGTCCAACCTCATCATTTAAAAAGATGAGGAAACAGACCCAGAGTGGTAGTAGTGACTTGCCTCTCACTCAGGCAGTAAATGGTAGATCTAGGATTTAAACCAAGTCTTCTGACTCCACATGCAATAATAGCCATAACTAAAGATTGTTGCACCCAAAGCAAGCATTGCAAGCCATGCCCTGGGCAAGTAGTATGAAGCAGTTGATCAAGGAAAAAAGAAAAACCAGAGACATGAGACCACTGACAGAGGCGGCTACATAGTGTGAAAGAAAGATGGTTAAGGATCGGGTGGAGCCCACCATTTGTAGCTTCCTATTTTAACTAATTATCCTTGCTAACTGGTTACTAAATTCTGTTGTTTCTTTGCTGAAGGATTCCAGGTGCTATCAGTATCACATAAATTTCATACCCAAGGACAAAGACCCTGCCACTCCAACTTAGTTATGGCTGTTTCTCTATACTCTCTTAGACTAGTTGAAGACATGGGAAATTCATTAAATTCATGTGCTTCCATTCTCAAATTATTCTCAAATTTCCCAGCATTCTACCCAGAACCACCACCATAGCATTCTAGAAGGAGGAAGCACAAGAGAGATGGTGATATTATGGATATTAAGTGTCTATCTGGTTTGGCTTCTGGGTCTTCTAGAAAAGCTACTTAGATGACTCCTTCCAAAGGTTCTTATGGACATTTGAACCAAGGATCCTACGTCTTGGGTTCTGACTAGACCAGGACTCTCTGCCAAAAGTATGAACACAACTCTGTCACTCAGAAGGCAGCATGCTGACCAACTAGCCCTCGGTCCACATTGTTTTTCCCAATTTCCATACCATGGGGGCAGCTAGGTGGCACAGTGGAGAAAGCACCAGCTCTGAAGTCAGGAGGACCTTAGTTCAAATCTGGCCTCAGACAAAACACTTGACACTTACTAGCTGTGTGACCTTGGGCAAGTCACTTAACCCCAACTGCCTAAAAAAAAAAAATTTCCATACCATGTTCCCAGAAGAGAAGGGAGATTATTTGAGAGAGTCTCAGTGCTTGAGGTAGGTTTCTTGGCTCTGTGACCAGTTCATATGGGACAAAGTACTCCCGTTCTAGACTTATTTATAACAGCAGGCTCCAAAAGGATAACTAAGATGGTGGAAGGATTGGAGACTATGCCATGTGAAGATCAACTGAAAGAACTTGGGATGTTTGCCTCGAAAAATATAAGACCTGGGGGCAGCTAGAGCACCGGCACCAGGAGGACCTGAGCTCAAATCCAGCCTCAGATACTTGACACTTTACTAGTTGTGTGACCCTGGGCAAGTCACTTAACCCCCACTGCCTCAAAAAAAAAAAAAGAGAAGATTTAGGGAAAACAGATTACTGGTGGCAGAATCATAGAAGTTACAAAGACAAATTTCAGTTTGATATAAAGAAAAATATCCTAACAATTAGAGCTATCAAAAAGTGAAATGGGCTGCCTGGGGAAGTGGTGAGCTCCTCATTAGTGGATGTCTTCAAGTGGAGGATGAACATACCCATCTGTGATAGATACTGTGGAAGGGACTGCTGTGGAGGAATATGTTGAATGAGTAGCCTCTGAAGCACCCAAGAAACACCAAGAGCCAAAGAGAAAGCCAGCATAGATGCTGAAAAACAAGCTGGGTCAAAAGGACAAAAGGAAAAGCCAGGGGTGCTAAAATGAAGTAACTAAGGCAACACCAAGAATCAGGAAAGCAAATAGGGTATATGTGAAACCTGAGCAGCCTTAAGGAAAAAAGTCAAGTTTCAGGGTAAGGGCCCATAGCTTCATGCAGGTTCTTGGTTGGGATTTTCCAGGCATGACCCCAATTGTCTCTTAAGAGACCTACTTGCTGGAATTCAGGAGCCAGGAATACATGAAGTTGATCAGTCACACAAATAAGAACTGGGAATGTTCTAGAGCATCTATTTTCAAGAAAAGACCCCTTTTATGTGCTTGAGTAGGGTTAGTGCAAACCAATGATAAAGGATAAATTTAAGGGAATTAGTTATCTTGGGCTTATTTGTAAATTATAGTTTTCATCATACTTATAATTTAAGGTTTTGTCGATGATTCTGATCAACAGTAAAGTCCTGAATTTCATGGATTTTGAAATAGTTAAAAAAAAAAGAAAGAAAAGAAAAAGAAAAGAAAAAAGAAAAGACCCTTTTCTCATTTCCCAAGAGCACTGAATTTGGAGTCAAAAGGCCTGGGTTCCAATCCTATCTGTCACCTTATTTCCTATGTAACACTGGGCAGATTATTTTAACCTCTCTGAGCCTCTACTTCCTCATCTCTAAAATGAGGGATTTGGAATATTCATAGCAGCTCTTTTTGTGGTGGCAAAGAATTGGAAATTGAGAGGATGCCCATCAATTGGGGAACGGCTGAGCAAGTTGTGGTATATGAATGTAATGGAATACTATTGTGCTATAAGAAATGAAGAACAGGCTGACTTCAGAAAAACCTGGAGAGACTTGTATGGTCTGATGCTGAGTGAAGTGAGCAGAACCAAGAGAATGTTGTACACATTAACAGCCAAGTTGTGCGATGACTAATATTGATAAACTGAACCCTTCTCAGCAATACAAGGATGTAAGACATCTCCAGAGGCCTCATGATGGAAAATGCTATCCACATCCAAAGAAAGAACTATAGAAGTTGAATCGCTATCATTTTTTTCTCTTCTGTTGAGTTTTGTTTCCTCTTTCTAGTGGTTCCTCCTATTGATTTTAATTTTTACTTACAACTTCACTAATGTGAAAATATGTTTAATAGGAATATAAATGTATAGCCTATATGAGACCGTGCGCCATCTTGGGGAGGGTGGTGAGGAAGGAGAGAAAAATTTTAAACTTTTTTTTTAATTTAAAGCATATGGAAGTGATTGTTGATAAATCAAAATAAATTAATAAAACTAAAAAAAATACAGGGAAGTAAAAAACAATCTAGAAAAAGAGAAGAAAAAAATAATATTAAAAGAAAATAAGCAACGACACTAAAAGACCACAGATCTTGGAGCACTATATATTGAAGAACAAAAGAACTGGGGTTGCAAGCAAAGATATGATACCCAGCAAAGTTAAGCATAATACTAAAAGAAAATTAAAATGACGTTAAACAATTAAAAAAATGAAAAAAGTAAAATGAGGGATTTGGGCCAGTTGGTCGCTAAGGTTCCTTCCAGTTCTATGCCTACAGTGCTAGGATCCTCTAAGCAGCATGGCCCATCCTATAGTTTCCTTCAAATCCTTCTACCCACTGCCAGATTTCCTTTCCATTTCACCCTCAAAACTAGCAGCTTAAGCTAAGCTTACATTGCCCCCTGCTGATCCTTTCTTATAATCCGATCAACTACTTAGGTCTTTCTGGCTGCAGAACTGTGAGAAATCCAGACCTTCCAGGGCTGACTTCACAGCTCTTTCCTTACCCCAGTGATAAAACAATCAGATACCACCCCAAAAAAGTCAAATGTGTTTATTTTATATAAAAAAAAATTTGTACAGTTTTAGTTCCTATGTTTTAAGGAAAAAAATCCCTAAATTTGCCATAATGCTTAGATCCACTGCAAACTGTAAAAACAAGCTTTTTTATATATTAAAAAAAACAATTTTTACATTTTACAATTTTCTACATGCATGCACAAGGTCTCAGCTCTGTAAAAAAAAATTCTAGAATTGAATGGAAAATTCTACATTTACAATCTCACTTGGAAGGGACCTAATTAGTCCCCCTGCCTCCCCCTTCCTTCTGCGCATAGAAGAACACCAGTCCCACACCCAGGACTGAATCCATCAGCAGATACTGCCCTAGGGGGTGGGCACAGGAAAGAGAAGAAAGACAAACTGACGGACAAGACATCACACAGAGACAGGGGAGCCTATGTGGGCCCAACAGAGAAGAAAGCATAAGCCCGCAAAAATAGATGGCCCAGCTGAGGGTCTCTAAGGGTCCATTTGTTTCACCTCATCTTTTCTAACAAAAAAAGGGACAGCCCAGGAGTTCCAATGGGGATGTCAGAAAAGAATTTAAGGACAGGATGAAGGGTGACAAGAAGGAAGGTAACACTTTAGCAGGAAATGAAGGCAGATGACATAGAAGTGAGCATAGCAGAGAGGAGTCAATGAGGACAGAGGCAGAATGGTGAGGTAGGTGAAGGCTTGAGGCACAGTGACCCTAGGGTGGGAAGGCTGGGTTAGGCATGTCAAGAAAACTAAAATGAATAGTTAATGGATAGGATAAGGTCAGATGGAGACAATAGAAGGACATACCCTGTACCTCCCCAAAAGATGACAGTACACAGAAGCTCCCATAAGAAGAAAGAGAAAGGGAATTACAGAAGAGAGGGAGAGAGAGGGAGGGAGGGAGAGAGAAATGGAAAGAGAGAGAAATGGGGAGAGAGAGAGAGAGAGAAGGAGCTCACTCCTAGGAAGAGTGTTAATTTCACATCCCACTACTGGTCACAGTCTCAAGACTACTTCCCACAGAGGAGAGATAGACAAGAAACATACATACATACATACATACATTTCACAATTCATCCTGATTTTTTTTAAAGAAAAAGAAAAAAGATACCACAGTTGTGACACAGAGGGTCCAAAGCATTGCCATTCTCAATCACAGCCCTTAGTGCTTAAGAGACAGAAAAAAAAATGAGGGTGGCTTTTTTTGTTAGTTTTTTGTTCTTTTTTTTTTAAAGAAAGGAATGAAAAAATCACAGTGATTAAAAACATGGCAGGTCCTTTAAAAGAAACATCCACTGCCCATAATAAAGGAAAGCAATGAGGGTCCCAAATACCTTTCCCCTTACAACCTCAAAGTCCGGTCCTGCTCCCAATACCCTTTCCACAAAGGCAGTTATCCACTATCCATCGAAGACTCCTTTCTAGGAAACAGAGTTATTTAGACATATGACCAGGAGAGACCCCTCCCACATTAAATTTTGTAGACAGAAACAGAGACGAGTCCAGAAAAGTGCCTGCACTTCAACCCTCTAGCAGTGCCTCAAAACTACCTGGGTTTAACCCAGGGAACTTGCAGTCCAGGAAAAGTCAAAGTTGCAACCACCAGGTATAACTGGGGCCTAGAGAGAGGGAACCCCCATACTTCCCTGAGGATTTCCAAAGGAGAAGGGAAGGGTTCGAGGTACAAGTACAAGATCGGCACTAGACAGAAAGACTCTGTTAGATAAGTGTGGCTATGGCTCTGCCTCCTCTAGCAAGGTAAGCAAGCTTTAGAGCCCAGAGTCACCTTCAAGGTATCTATTTTAAAGGTAGAAGGTCTCCATGGGGATGAACCAGAGGGTGCCCTGTCTCTGAATTTTCCAGGCAGCTGCACATAAAGGGAAAGCAATAAATGATGCAGGGAAGAAGAGGGACCAAAATGGGGGCTATGGGACCTTTGGCACACCAACTAGGGTGTGGACCCCAACCTAGCTGTTGGAGCTACACTGATATACAGGTTGGATGTGAATGGAAGGATAGGGGTTAGGAGTGGCAGGCGGTGTTGATGCTTCAAATTCCCATTTCCCCTTGGCTAAAAGACCAGTACTTGGAAGTACCCAGACAAGTTTACATTGAAAATACAGAAGATAGGAGGAAGGAGAATTTTGCTCACATTTGCTTTAAGTGTTCAAGCCTGTCAGAAACATCTGGAAGCTGAGGTGAGGCAAGGGACTGTGTGATCTCAAATGGCAGGGGCTCAGGCTCCTGACCCCAGTACAGAGATCAGAAAACAAAACAGGGCCCCCAGAGCACTGAAGTGATGAGGTCTCCCAGGAAAAGACCTTCACTTAAAGGAAGAAGAGAAGAAGCAATGGGGGCCCTCCCTAACATACAGAAGTAGTACGTCTGCCAAAGGAAGAAATGCCTGAGGGTGTTATCATAGAGGAAGAAAGGAGACACTCAGCAGCTCACTCCTTTCAGTCACATCACCTGTTTGACAATGGAAAGACCTATACCAAGGTAAAAAGAACAGAAGGGACTGGATTTGTTGACTTTCACAGGGGTCTATTCCAAAACTCCACGTATCACAGAATCATAGATATAGAGCTATGAGACACATTCTGGTCCAACTGTCATTTTACAGGTGAGAACATTGAGGCCCAGAGAGGTGAAAGCCACTTACCCATGGCCACAGATAAGTGGCAGAGCTAGGATTTAAACCCAGGTCCTCTGGCTCCAAATTCACCCCTCTTTCCACTGGACCACAATGCTTCCCATGGGTCTTCCCTTCCCCTCTGGGCCTACCAGTAAAGGCAGGATTAGGAAGAAAATCCATCCTGCAGCAAAGAGTTAGGGTAGGGAATTAGGGAAGGAAAGGCAAATGAGAATGATGGAGAGGAGAGGAGGAGTGTTTTCCATGCCCCAGGGGAAGTGGTCAAAGGGACCACATTCCCCAGTGTTTTTGCAATCTCATATGAGTGAACAGATCAGGAAAGGGGAAAGAAAAGTTAGAATTCTCCCTGAAAAGGCTCAAGGGAAATGAGTTTCCCTTCTGGGAAATGAGTGTGTGTGCATGTGTGTGTGTGTGTGTGTGTGTGTGCGCATGTGTTTAGGAGAAGGGAATATAAAAGAAAGAGCATAACCAGAAGACAGGAAAGAGGCTATAGCAGCAGCAAGAAAAAAAAAATCTCTGTGGGAGACTCCTGACCCTGGTGGCTTGTGCAGGAATTAAAAAGGCCACAGACCCAAGAGTCCGGTTGCCCCCAAAACTCAGAGTTCCTGAGATAGGCCTAGTGAGATGGGCAGGAAGAACAGCCTCACCTCCCTTTGCATGCCAGAGAGGACTAGCCCTGACCTGGGATCATTTGGCACCATGGTTTGCTATGATCATGACTTCACCCCTTGGGAGAAGCACTTCCAGGAGGCTGCTGGAGAGAACTGCTACAATAACCTAGATGGAGCAAAGGGGAGAGGGGTGGAGAAGAAAGAGAAGGGGACAGAAGGGCCACGTCCCCTTTCAGCAGAGACTTTCATGGAGAAATGGAAAGGAGGGGAGGAGAGGAGAAGAAGAGAGGAGAGAGGAGAGGAGAGGAACCCATTCCCACAGGACTGGAGGTGGGAAAGAATGGGAAAACCAGAATAGGTATCTCCCTATTTGCTGTCCCCACCCTCAGGGTGGTCTTTCCCCATTCACATGGGGCAGGGAAGGGAAGAGAGGGAGCAGATAGAATGGGACTGGAGAGTAAGTTAGCAATTCAAGTAAAAAACAGAGTTGGAGGCAGAAAGGAAGGAAGCAGGACTGGCTGAGGCCTGGGCTTCAAGCCCCCTCCCACTGCCCCCAGGAGCCTCCCATAGCCCCTCACCCCACCCCCACCTTGCCCATTCTGTTGCACAATTACACAGAGGTCTCAGACTGCAGCCTCATGACAAACTTGTGCGATTTAGGGTCCACAAACTCCTCAGACAGCTTGAAGAATGGGACCTTCTTGGTGCTGACCACCAGGCTGAAGTCCTGGCGTTTGAGGAGGAAGACAATGCCATCTTTGAGCCCATTGGTCACTGGCTCTTCGCTCAGCAGTGTCCACTGTTTAGCCAGCCAGCGTTCCTTGTGGTACTGGATGGTGGGGCCAGCTGCCAGGTACCGCTCCAGAAAGGCCTAAGGTAGAAAGAGAGAAGACTCGTGCCACAAGATGGCGCTTGTTTGCCCCCAGCTCACTGCACTCGCTGCACTCCTCCCTTCACTCCCCTGCAGAACAGCCTCTCCAAAAGGACCTCCATCCCATGTGTTCCCCTCCTCTTTTTCCTCAACCAGCCTTCATTTCTAATTGTAATAGTCAAGACCAGACCCAGGCCTATGGAGAGGCGCAGCAAAGCAGACAGAAAACTGAACTGGGAATCAAATGACCTATATCTAAATCTCAGTCCTGATACCTACTAGCAATATATTCCTGGGCAAGTTACTCTCTGTGAGCCTCAGTTTCTCACAGGGTTGTTTTGAGGAAAGCATTTTGTAAACCTTAAGCAGATCTATATGTGTATCAATACACACACACACATACATGTGTGTATAGGGGGAAGGGAAAAAGTATTTATTAAGCACTTACTACGTGCCAAGCACGTAGTAAAAGTAAGCCCTTTACAAAGATGACCTCACTTGATCTTCACAATGACCCTGTTGGCGGGTACTATTACGAGCTCTATTTTACAATATATGTAAATACACAACACGTATGCTACTGCTCCACACCAGATGCCCTGTCCTCCCCAAAAGGAGGGTCCTTGCCTGGACTAGCCACTTCATCAATCACCCTTTCAGGTTGATCACAACTCCACATTTCCTGCCTGGCCCTCTAAGGACAATGATGATCTGCCTGAACTTACTGTTCAATGATTAGCCTCCATCCACTGATCATACCCTCCCTATCCCAGTGATTCTGAACCCACAGTTGTGATTGTACAACCCCCATTCCCTACTACCCACTGTCCCTTCCCTTGCTTTTATAACATTTAACACCTCACCCCAACACCACTCAAGACCTACTCACTATGGAATACCTCCTCCATATATAATAAATTTACTTTCATCTTAAAACATTACCTCTCTCATTCTTTCCATCTTCTTGTACTCACTGAGCCCTGGCTCTGTCCTGATGACATAGCTTCCCTGGCCACCCTTTCCAGCACTGGTTGAATTTTCATTCTTAATCCAGACTCACTGGGTCATTGCAAGTAAGTCATCATTCTCTTTGATCCCCACTACCACTTCTACCAGCACCATCACTCAGTAACCTCTCCTCTAAGGTTCACTCAATCTGTATTTACCATTTAATCAAGATTCTGTGGGCTATTGTTTAACCTCAAGGATATTCTCCTTCCTTTCTAAAAGAGTTCCACAATGCCTGGCTCACAATCTTTCTCTGCTCCTCAATTCCTGCCTTCATACTAGAGGACTTTGACATACATGTTGACATACAAACACTCAAACTTCCATTTTCTCAACTTCTTCATTTCCCATGACCTACTCCCCCACTGCAGCTCAGCTACACATAGAGATGGTCATACATGTAATGCCATCACCACAAGTATTCTATGTTCATAAACTGAAATGCCTTTATCTAATCAGTCTTTTATTATTCCATCTCTACTTCTATCACACAACTACTGTTCTTCATCCTTCTCACAACCTCAAATCCTTCCACCACTCAGTTCTTTCCCAGGCCATCACCCCTTCACTGGTTATACTCTCCTCCCTTCCCCATCTTGGCCCCTTGGTAAACCAGTTCAACTTAACACCATCCTCTTCTCTCTAATCATTTGCCTCCTTTATCCTAGAACTGATCTTGCCTGGCCAAGGTCCAGCCTTGGATTTTTTCTGCCATCTACTGCCTTCAATTTTATTCATCTGGAGCTGAAGAAAACTGGAAAAAAGCACATAACAATTATGACCAGTTCCACTACAAATTTATGTTAAATAATCTCAACTGGGCCCTCACTGTAGCAAGGAATCCTTTTATATCTCCCTAATCAATTCACTATCTTTGTCAAAACAACAGCTTTTCAAAACCTTTTCACCCCTTCTCAAACGTCTCATGGCTACACTCCACTCACAGCTGACAATGTTGCTCTTATTTCACTGAAAAAAATTGAAACTGGGGCAGCTAGGTGGCACAGTGGATAGAGCACTGGCCCTGAAGTCAGGAGTACCTGAGTTCAAATCCGGTCTCAGACCAAACACTTGACACTTACTAGCTGTGTGACCTTGGGCAAGTCACTTAACCCCAATTGCCTTAAAAAAAAAATTGAAAACATTCACCATAAACTCCCCTTTTTCCCTTGATCTTCATTTAACATCACTCAGATTTCTTCCTCCATAATCTTTTCCTTTACCCATATTCCATGAGAGGCATAGCCTTTCTTTTTGCCAAGACAAAATCCTCTACATGCTATCATATTGTATCCCATCTTCACCAGCAGATTGCCCCTTCTATTATCTTTACTCTCTAGCTAATCTTCAATTATTATCTCTATGCAAATAATTACCAGATTTATATCATGAGGTCTAGTCTTGCATGTCCTTTCCATGCCTTTTAGATATCTCAAAGTGGATGTCGCATAGACATCTCAAACTCAACATACTCATGTTTTTCCCAAAACCCTCCTCATCCTAGCTTCCCTATTACTGTTGAGGGTACCGCCATCCTCCCAGTCACCCAAACTCACAACCTAGCAGTCAGCCTCAGCTCCTCACTTTCTTTCGCTCCTCTTCTCCCCCACTACATCCAATCTGTTGCCAGGTCCTGTTGACTGTATCTCTGTAAAATTGTTCATATAAGCCCCCTTTCTTTGACACTTCTACTGCTGCAAGCCCTCATCATCTTGAACCTGGACTAATGCAACAGCCTGCTGGTTGGTCACTGTAGCTCAAATCTCCCCTCTCCAGTTCATCCTCAAAATTACAGCTATCAAACTGGTCTTCCTAAAGCACAAGTCTGATCACATCACACTTATCCTCCTCATTCAATAAACTCCAACGGCTTCCTACTACCTTCAGGATCAAAATAAAATTCTTTGTTTGGCTTTTAAAGCCCTTTATAACTTGGAACCTTCTTGGGGCAGCTAGGTGGCGCAGTGGATAGAGTACCAGCCCTGAAGTCAGGAGGACCTGAGTTCAAATCTGGCCTCAGACCAAACATTTGACACATACTAGCTGTGTGACCTTGAGCAAGTCACTTAACCCTATTGCCTCACTAAAAAAATAAAAAATTTAAAAAAATAATAATAACTTAGACCCTTCCTGCTTTTCCAGTTTTCTCATACCTTACTCCCTTCCACATACTCTACAATCCAGTGACACCAGCCTCCTTCCTCTTCCTCACCTATGACACTCACCCCCTGTGACCTTTCACTGGCTGTTTCCCATGCCTGAATGCTAATCCTCCTGGTTTCTGCCTCCTGGCCTCTCTGGTTTCCTTTGAAGTCTCAGCCCAATCCCCTTAATGGCAGCGCCTTCCCTCTGAGACCAGCTCCAATTTATCTTGTACAGATATATATAGGATAAATTGGTGCTAACCTCAGAGGTATGTTTGTGCATAGTTGTTTGCGTGTTGTCTTCCCGACTAGAATGTGAGCTCCTTGAGGGCAGGAACTATGTATCTGCCCTCCTTTGTATATTCAGCACAGTGCCTGGCATGTAGTAGGTGCTTAACAAATGTTCACTGACTTGACAATATATGTATAAGTAATATATGTATATCTGCTACTATTATCAAAGTTCAAATAGTATAGTTTGATCATAGATGTGATAAAACCTGTGATTCTAGACAAGTCACTTCTCTTTGGGCCTCAGCTGCCACATATGTAAAATGAGAGTGTTGGACTAGATGACGTCTAAGGCCTTTCCAGTTCTAAATCTATGATATAATAACATCAGTCACCCAGGGCAGCTCTACTACTCTCCCAAGTGTTTGGTCACAGAGTTGGAAAGGACAGCACTTCCAACAACTAGCAACAGGGGGCAACAGTGGATCACATATGTGCAAACACTAACAGGTCAAAGTGAAAAATTGCCCTTGGACTGAGGATCATAAATCTAGTGTTGAAGGGGCTGTAGAGGTTATATGGCCGCCTCTACCACCCCATTTGACAGTTAGAGGCTATAGCCCAAGGAGGTTAAATAACTTTCTCCAGGTCACACAGTTAGCGAACACCAGCGGTGAGGAAAGAAAGGAAGAAACAGAGACAGGGAAAGAGCAATAGATGAGAGAGTAAAAAAGGAGAGAGGGAGAGGAGGAGGAAAGGAAAATAGAGAAGAGAAAGTGAAAGAGTGGGGAAGGGAAAGGAAGGGAGGGAAGAGAGAAGAAGAAGAAGAAGAAGAAGAAGAAGAAGAAGAAGAAGAAGAAGAAGAAGAAGAAGAAGAAGAAGAAGAAGAAAGTGGAGGAGGAGGAGAAGAAAGGGAAGGAGGGAGGGGGAGAGAGAAAGGAGGAGGAAAGAGAGAGAGAGAGGGAGAGGGATGAGGGGAAAGAGGGGGGAGAGAGGGAGAGAGAGAGGAGGAGGAGGGAGGAAGAAGGTCAGAGGGGGAAGAAGAAGGGAGGGAGGGAAAGAGAAGGGAGAGAGGGAGGGACAGAGAGAGAATTAGGCCAGACTTCTTCACAACCCTATGCCTAAGTTCACGCCACCCCTAGAAACTATCTTACTAAGGAGAAAGGTGAGGGAATATGAACTGAAAGGAGTGAAAGAAGAAAGAATGGAGAAAGATGAGAGATGGAAGGAGGATAGAAGGTGAAAGAATAACCATGAGAAGGAAGGAGTCTAGGGAAGAAGGCAGAAAGGGGACAGGACCATAGTATCCAAGATCAAGAACCAGAATGGACTTTAGAGGTCATTGAATACAACCCCTTATTTGAAATGAGGGTAATGAAACCCAGAGAGGAGTCACTTAAATGACTTGCCCAGAATCACACATCTAATAAGCACCTAAGGCAGGATGAAACCCAGCTCTTCCTGACAGCAGGGCCAGCACTCTATGCACTAGGATGGGAGGCAAAACAGAGCATACCTTGGGTGTCATGTCGTGGGTGATGCAGAACTCCAGGTGCTGCAGGATGCTCTCCATGGTGTGGTAGGGCTGCTGCTTGGTAGTACGAAGGTACTTCTGCATGGCTCGTGCCATGGAGGCAAAAATGGCTTGGGCTGCCTCTCTGGGATCCATCACCTCCCTTGGGTTCTTCTGCTCTTCTTCCTGTAGCCTTTTGATGTGTGTGAAGGCCTCTTCCACTGCTACCACCAGTCTGATTGGGGAGGGGAGGGAAGTTGTGAGTGAGTTGTGAGTGAGACGTCATGGTCTCAGGGAAGAGAAGAAAGGAAGGAGAGGAAGACAGTTCAAAGACCACTCACATACCAAAGTCTTTTCAACTTCCTGTCATTAATGAAGCCTAAGCCTTGCCAGACCTCTGCAAAAGCAGGTGATTTTGTCTCTCCCAATCCTTTCCAGGGAGAATTTTCTAAATAAGAGGATATCACAACTTCCCTTACAACTCAGGAAATTACTTCCTGACGTTTCCCCTTAAACCCTACTACTACTATCTGTAGCAATTTATAGCTATTCTCCATGGAAAGCAAGAATAGCTACTATCAATAATAATACCACCACATATTTATATAGCTCTCTCTGGTTTACAAAGCATTTTGATCACAATCATAAGTATGACAATACAAAAATTTTTATTCCCATTTTTACAGTGGAAGAAGATGAGGTTAAGTGATTTACATGGTCATACAACTAAGTGGCAGAGCCAGGACTAGGATTCCAGGTCTTCAGATCTTCAATCTTTCAACTACACCATTCTACCTACACCTAGACTTCTCAAAACTCACAATGAGAACCAGCTCTTTAAACAAGTTCCTACCCCACTTTCTTTAGGAAAAAGTTACTCCTGAGACTGATTTTGCATTATTCTTACCCTCCATCATGCCCCGAATTTTTCTCTTAATCATCTTCCTTTCATATCTCCCCTCTTCTAAGTGTTGTACAAGTCATGGGGTTTTTTTAATTAAGGTGAATTAAAATAATTTTCTTTTGAGACTATGAGACCATGACCATACTCCACCACTACCAATAACACCCTGGATAAGTACAAAACAAGGATTTTGTATCAGGGCTGTACAGCACGGGGGTAGACACTTTTCCATTTACCCAAAGCCTTGAGAAAATCAGAGTATGGGATATAAAAGAGCTTGACAATGAAGTCTCTGAGAAAAAGCATGAATGTAGGCAAGTCTGTTAAACTCAATTTCCTCATCTGTAAAATGAAGTAATTGAATTATATGATCTCTAAGGTCCCATCCAGCTCCCGTCATTTTATGACCCTACAAGCAGAGGATGGGACACTGCTGAAAGCTATGTTCTCCTTTCTACGAAGATGCTAGCAAACCCAAGAGAGGAAGGGTATGGTGTCCAAAAGAGAGACAACTGTGACCAGCTCAAAGTTCTACTTGGCAGCTCAGTGGATAGAGCATTGAGTCAAGAAGATCTCAAGTCAAGTCCAGCCTCAGATACTTACTAGCTGTATGACCCTAGGCAAGTCATTCAACCTCTGTCTGCCTCAGTTTCATCAAACATGAAATGGGGATAATAACAGTACTACCTCCCAGGGTTGCTGTGGGACTCAAATGAAATATTTGTAAAATACTTAGCACACTGCCTAAGCAAGTAAGAGTAGCTAAGGCTTTACGGGGCCACTATTACTGTCAAAGCTAATGATTCAGGACCCTAGTTCTTGTCCCTTGATCTAGTCTAGCCTCTGCTCCTAATGCCACAGATTTTTACCTATTTTCTCTTCCTGGGGATCAACTCCATTTTTCTTCCCCATGAGTATGAGCAACTTTCTCCCATTGGCCTACTCTTTTCAGAAACCATGAAGACTCACTCACAACCTTCATTCCCTAGATGGACAGAGTCTCCCTCCCAATTGGGTTCAAAGGATCATCAAAAACTTTAGAGACAAAAAAATACTTAAAGATCATCTAGTCCAACCTAAACATTTTACAAATAAGGAAACTGAGGCCAAAAGAGGATTTCTCTAAAGTCATAAAGGTAGTTTTTGTGCAATCTCAGCCCATCCTATTCTAGTCACCTTTTCCCTCACATATCCCCCTCTTCTTTTCCAGAGAACATACCTGGCTCTACGCTTCCGCACCCTCCGCTCATGCTCCGCTTCTTCATAATAATATTCATTGTGGCTGTTGTCCCGCCGCCGAGCTGCTGCTGCAATCACTGCCCGAGACTGCCCAGTGGAGTTGTTAGTGCTGTTCTCTGAGAGAGGGCAGGGAGGCAGAGGTTGGGATCAGAATGGGAAAGTGTCCCAGGAGATCTGGGGTTGAGGGCAGCAGCCTGACTCTCCACAGTCTTCAGGAGGTACTGTCCCCAACCACCTTTACAGAAGGCACCCAAGGAACAGCAGTGAAGAAGGGCAAGGACTCCCAAGGAGGTCCATGAGATTTGGAATTGAGATGGCTGAAGGGCTTAGAGGGCCAGGGCTGATGAGGAGACACAGAGCAGCCAAAGGAGGGGAAACCTGAGAGGGCAGGGGTAGGAGAGGTAGAGAGAAAATGAAATAGGGGGAGGGATCCAAAGGCTGAGACCCTCCACTGGAGTCAAGGGCAAGGACAGCACAAAAGGGAATGAAGAAAGGGAGTGAGAAGTGAAGGGAGTGAAAGTGGTGGGAGAAGGTAAAAGAGGAAGAGAGAGAAAGAAAAAAGAAAGGAGTAGCAAAGGGAGCCCTGATAGGGAAGGGCAGAAAAGTGGAAGATCCTGGCAGCTCACCCTCTCCGAGGGAGTACACCTTGAAGCCGGACACTTTCTTGGCCAGGACGGACTTGGGCAGGTTGAGGAGGGCAGGGTTGTAGACGGGGAAATCATGGTAATACTTCTCCAGGATCCACACTGCCACACGCTGGATGCTGTGGGGGAGACGGGTGGGGGGACATGGGGAAAGGGAAGGGGAAGGGGGAAGGGAATAGGAAGGAGGTAAGGGGAACATTCATGGTCACCTCCACTCCCAGACATAGACAAAGGTGTCCAGAGGGAGGGACACATCAGGGCAGGACGGCAAGACAAGAAAGAACGAAGGATGGGGAGAAGCTGCTTCTGACAAGCCCAGCTTAAGGAAGCCACCCTGAGGTCTCTCCCCCTTGGTCTCCTTCCAGCCTCCAGATCAGAGCCCTTCTCATGGCCTGGCTGTGACAGTCATCGAGTCCCACACTTAGAGCTTATACCAGTGGGACCTTCTATGACGTCCTTTCATGCCACCAATAGCCTCTACTCATCAATGCCTTTGGAATCTTGCTGGATGGAGAAAATTTCCCAGATGAGGATTGGAAGCCAACCACCCTCTCACACTGGATCCTAAGGGACAATGAAATGGGAACCCCCAAGAGCATTAGGGTCCAGGGCCAGGCTCAAGACTCAAGTTGCCAAGTTGCCAGATCTTGAGCAAATGAAGTATCTTTCCCATACCTCCTGTCAAAAATACACACATACACACAGACATGGACAAACACACACACACACAAATACACACACCCTTTCCCAAGTTAACTCTTAGTAGTACATGACCAATGAATCACAGCCCTCTATTTTGGCCTCTCCCAATATACCCTTCTTTTCAAAGTAACCTCCCTTTGCCCTGCGCAGCTCCATTAATTTCACACTCACTGAGTAACCAGAGAGGGTATGTTCTTGTGAGAGTCACAACTCAGGGAAATGCAAAAAGTACCCAAAAAAGCCACTGGTGCTGGCCCATACTCTTCTCCTACATATAACTCCTCCCATCCCTTCCATTTTATCCTTACCTCCAACATTCCATCTCTTCTACAAACTTTGTACCAGCTCTCTCACCAAAGTTCCTCAGTCCCACAATACACTGGCCTTGATTACCCCCTCAGCCCCACCATAGCCCCCATCCCCAAAATATTTGTCCCTCAGCACTTCCAGCTGTCCTCCATGCCCTATCAACTATTATTTACTGAGTGTGGCACTATACCCCAGTTCCCCCAGATAACTCTCAGGTCCCCAGCACCCCAACATTCTTCCTACCCCTTTACCTACCCAACCCAAACGCCTACCCATTTATCTCCCATATGCTCCAAAATCCATTCCTGTGCTAATATTCTCTCCCTGCCCTTCTATAGCCACAGTCTGAACCTAGTCAATCTCCCATTCCCTCTCCTATCCCATCTCAATGCCCTTAATCTCCTTCATGCTCTCCCTTACACACACCCAAGCACATATACACACATGCACATGTATACACACACACACACACACACACACACACACACACACACACACACACACACACTCTGTACCTGAGGTGGCCAACATTGTAGAAGCGACTGGCCCCATCAGTGGAGCGCACAACTTTGAGGGTGAACTGAGGCTGCAGCTGGCGCAACTCCAGCAGGACCACGGCGAGGTAGTGCACAAAGAGCAGGGCATCTACCAGTGAAACCGCAAACTGCACCACACCCTGGTAGCTGCGCTCCCTCGCCTCCAAAATCCTAACCCCATAGAAGAGCCAGTAGGAGACCACGAGCAGAAAGACGAGCACCATGAGCAAGGCGCGCAGCACAAACACGCGGGGCAGTGAGGCCTTGGGCCGGCGGAAGAACAGGGCCCAGCTGCCCAGCAGCAGGATGAGCAGCTTGAAGGCCACTGAGATGAAGAGTCCCTCGCAGGCCGCCCCGCATGGCTCCAGCTCGTCCCGCCACAGCAGCGGGGGCAGCAGAAGGAAGGCCAGCGGGGTGAGGAAGGAGAGCAACGCCAGAGTGGCCCCAGCCACTACACCCAGGTGACGTGAGCAGTCCAGAGGGACACTGTCCTCCATGTCCTTGGCAATGCGCGTGAGGTCATCGTGGGAGATGCTGTGTTCTGATGTGCCTGTCACCACCGTTGTTGTCTCACCCCAGTTATCATCCTTTGAGGGAATGTGGAGAGGAACAAAAGGCAGAATGTTGGGGAGGGTGAGGGAAACAGGGAAGAAGACAGAAGAAGAAGAGGGGGGAAGAAAGGGCAAAGCGGGGGAAAGGATGATGGAAAAGGAGAAGGCAGAAAGGGGAGAGGATGGTAAACAAGAAGTGTTCTGTTAATAAGTATTTATCAAGCACCTACTGGTACCCAACACTCTATCAGACTCTGTGTTCAAAGAAATATAGAACAGCTTCTGTCCTCAAAGAACTTACGATCAAGAGGAGAAGACAAAAATCACAAGCCCATAAACTGGGGAAATGGCTAAAAAATTATGTTATATGAACATAATGAAATATAACTGAGCCATACAAAATCATAAATATAGGGGCAGCTAGGTGGCACAGTGGATAGAGCACTGGCCCTGGATTCAGGAGAACCTGTGTTCAAATCTGGCCTCAGACATGTAACACTTACTAGCTGTGTGACCCTGGGCAAGTCACTTAACCCCACTGCCTAACCGAAAAAAAAAACAAACCACAAACAAAATCATAAATATGATGCACTTAGCACTGGCACATGGAAGGCATTTCATAAATGTTGACTGATTGATTGATTGATTGATTGGATCCAGAAAACCTAGATAGTCACACATGAATTCATTAGAAAGAAAAATGAGCATACCCAGAACAATCCACATGATGGCCACAACATAAAGAAAAATGGTTCCAAATGGCTACAGAAGATGGGTGATGAAATATTATTCTTGCTCTTTGGTAGAGGTACAGAATGAGACATGCATTTTTCAGAAGTGACTAAGGTACTGGGTTACTTTGTGTGATTATACTTATTTGTTATAAGTGAGAGATTCTATTGGAAGGGTCAACAAGTTATTTAAAAAGAGCATCAATGAAACATGTAAAAGTACAAAGAAGAAGAAAATTTTTTTAAATTTAAAAGGAGACAAATGAATAGGACAATTTTGTTGTTAGTACTATGTTAAATTTAATACATACTGTAAAAAAAACCCTCTGTATTATAAAAGTTTGTGGTTTCAATCCCACCTTCTTCTTTATTCCTTTTTCTCCTGAATATTTGACTTGTTGATTAAGTTAACAATAACCAATATTTTCAAAAGATGGTAACATATTTCAATAGATCTATTGAGCACTTTCCTTGCCACTGTTCTGTGAGGTCAGCAACACAAATATCATGACCCTCATTTTGCAGATGAGGAAACTGAACCTCAGGGAAGTAGAGTTACTTTCTCATGGTCACAGAGCTAGTAGGTGGCAGTAGATGGTAAACCCAGGACTCTTTACCACACTGCTGACCTGAAAAACACACAGCCACATATGAAAATAAACGACATCCATGGCAGTCGGTGCCAAGCTCCAAAGGAACAGTAGAGACCACAAGTACTATAGAGCTCGGAAAAGGGACAGATTGCTATGGGCTTCCTGGTTGAGGTGGCACCAGAACTGAGCTTTGAGGAACTGGTGATAATGTTAGAAGGATGACACTACAGATGGATGAAACTTTGCAAGGAACAGCAAAGAGATGCAAAAGAACACGGCACAGGGTGTAGGTCAATCTGGACATAGCAGCGTTTAAGAAAGTGAGCAGTAACTTAAGTTTTAACATAGATTTGGAACAGAATGTAAAGGACCCTGAATACCAGGCTAAAGAATACAAATCCAAAACCAGGGCTCTTCTCATTACACTGAACTCCTGACCTGACAAAACACAAACAGACACAAAAAAAAAACCAAACTAACAAACCTATATAGGCAGGGGGAGCCATTGCAGGTTTAAGGGCAGGGGAGTAACTGTAAAAGCAATATTTTTGGAAGATTAATCTGACTGGAGGGGAGGAGGGGAAGGGAGACACAAGATGGATTTCGAGGATAGGAATTACCCAGTTTTGAGTCAGAGAGACCAGTTGGGAGGTGATGACATTAGTCCCAGAATAAGGTGATAAAAAAGAGTTAGTAACAACCTAAATGGAAAAGAATGGACAGCGGGATATGAAGAAGGAAAGGGCTATGGTATTTGGTGACTAGTTAAAAGTTAAGGTCAAATGAATCGTGTTTAGGTAAAGGTTGTTTTATGATTCTTCCAACTCTGAAATCTTATGATTCTATTGAAAAGTAAAAAGATAATTGCCCTCCTGCAAAAGCAGCAGGATGTTGATATGTTATGGGGCAGTGAGGCGTACGGTGTGGAGTAGAGGGGTGTAGAGGTGGAAAGATCACTGGGTACGGAACATGAAGACCTCGGTTCAAATCTCACTCTTGGCATGTACTATCTCCGTGACCCTGGGAAAAACCCCTTAACCTCCCTGAACCTCAGTCTCAAAGCCTCCTTTGGAAGAGGAATTAGAAGCATAAGATCCCCCATACGAACGGAAGGGACAAAATGTATCACTTTCATAGCTACCTTCTCCACTCTCAGGACACAGAAACATTAGGTATTTGCATGTCCTCACACACCCATCTCTAATCCATGAGGCCAGCAGGCCAAAAGGCCATGCAGTCATCATTAAATGGATTCCCCAAGAACATTAGTCTTGACCTTCCAGCCTCATCCACCGAATTTCTGCCCCTCTCCTTCCTACTTCCTTCATCTGCTCCCAGCACCATAGAACTCCAGAACCATATCAAAGTGTCATTCTAGAAAATGCCACCGGAGGGCAACAGTCTCCCTACCCCTCCCCAGTCCATGGGAGTTTCTTAGCCTCAGGATTTCAGCCTTGCCACTAACCTGACTGGCTAGCAGTGCAGGAAAGTGGGGCAGGTCCCCACTGCAATGCCCAGCCAGGACCCATTCTTTTAAGGCCCCCCAGTGAAAAAGGGAAGTAGTGCAAGGTGGGGAAAAAAAACCAAAAGCACTGGATTGGAAGTCAAAATACCTGGGTTTGAGTCTTTGCTCTCCCACTTATTACCTGTGTAACCTTGACCAAGAGCCCAGCTTTCTGAGCCTCAGTTTCTTTATCTATAAAACAAATAGGCTGAACTAGATTACTCCTAGCGACCCATATAGTTCTAAATCTTAAGTGGATGGCTTTTATTGCTACAGAAATTTCTTCCACCTACCCTAGCCTGGCACGCTGAGATGGAACATCGATATTGCCACCTTAAGGTTCGCAGAGCATTTTTCTTATGACATTTCCATGAGCTGGGGTTAACCCTAAATGCAAGTATCACCACTTTACAAATAAGGATCAGAGACAGAGAGACTGAGACTTACCCAAGGCCATCCAGAAGAAACAGTAGATCCCTAAAGGAACTCCCTTCTTATCCTGCCTACCTACTGATTCCAAACAACCTGAGCGTCAGGAGACTTGGGTCCTAGTTCTTACCAATTACGTGTGACCCTGAGACAAATCTAGAGAGACATAGGGAATAAAAAGATATTGGAGGCAGAATCTTAGGGACAGAAACCCAGATGAAATATAGAAATGAGAGGGGGAACACTGAGGGGGTAGAAAACTGGGGAGAGTCACAAGTAGAAAGAGCTGGAGAGGAGGATAAGGTATGTAGGGAAGTACACAGTGAGACAGGGAGACAGACATAGATGGGGAGAGAGAAATGGCCAGTCCGTGGTACTTTTTTTTTCTTTTTCTTTTTTTCTTGGCTAGGCAATGGGGTTAAGTGACTTGCCCAGGATCACACGGCTAGTAAGTGTTATGTGTCTGAGGCCAGATTTGAACTCAGGTCCTCCTGAATCCAGGGCCAGTGCTCTATCCACTGTGCCACCTAGCTGCCCCTAACCCATGGTACTTAACAGAGTATGTGGATATCTGAGTTTATCTACGTATGTTTGAGTTTCTACCTACATGAATTTGGAAATGTATGCCTGAAAGTTCATATATGTATATCCAGGCATTTGTGTGAGGTCACTGACAAACCGGAGTATCCAGAAGGTTATGAGTGGTATTTGTGCCTGAGTAGATTATGTCCCAGTGTCTATGAGTAGATACCAAAGTGCCACCTCGTACATGAGACCTGTCACAATCCCCCAATCGCTAGTGCCCTACCCATCAAAATTACTTTATAATTGTTAATTATGACTTCGTAGGATCACAGATTTATAGCTAGAAGGAACCTTAGAGACCATCCTCTCCCTCATTTAATAGATGTGGAAACTGAGGCTCAGAGAATGCCCAGGATCACATAGCTAGTGGCACCTGAGGCAAGATGTGAAAACAAGTTTTCATGATTCCAAGGCCAGGACTCTATTAACTACACCAGAGGTGTCAACTCCCAAGTGTGGGCTGGAACCAGATGAAAATATAAGTGGAAAACATGCTAATTAATAAATAAATAAATGAATAAATAAATAAATAAATAAACAAACAAACAAAAATAAATGAATAAAATAGATAAATAAAAATAAGGCACAATAAACTACAGATGATGCTCACATGGGGTTTTCTAAGTCAGTAAGCAGCTGGCAGGGATCTTTACGTGCATATTAGTGGCCCCCAACTTGACACCACTGCTCTACACCATTTTGTGGTTGTGGTTCATTTCATGTCCATCTCCTAATGACCCCCTTTGGGGTTTTCTTGGCAAAGGTACTGGAGTGTTTTGCCATTTCCTTCTCCAGCTCATTTCACAGACGAGGAAACTGAGGCAAAAAGTGTTAAGTGGCTTGCCCAGGGTCACACAGCTAGTAAGTGTCTGAGGCCAGATTTGAACTCAGGCCTTCCTGACTCCAGGCCTGGCACTCTTATCCACTGTATTACCCTAGCTGACCTTCTTCTTGTGGTTAGTGATTGTTTTGGTTTTTTCCTTTGTGATCCTAGTCTCTAGCATGGTATCTCTGACACAACTAGTATTTATACAGACCTTTAAGGTTTACAAAACACTTTATAAAAATTATCTCATATTATCCTCACAACAATCCCGGGAGGTATATATTATAAGTACACCTCATTTTACACTGTAAAATGTAAAAAGGTAAACAGTGGCTAAGTGACTTGCCCAGGGTCACACAGCTAGCAAGTATCTGAGGCTGCATTTGAACTCAGGTTTTCCTGACTCCAAGTGCAACACTCTACTGTACCACCTACTTAATGTATGCTTATTGAGTGAACAAAGCCCCATGAAGACAGGGACTACTGCTATTTTCATCCCCATACTCTGGCATAGAGAATAGTGCCTTGAACATAGTACACTCACTTAATAAATGTTTGTTGAGTGTGTTGATCCAAGAGAAGAGAAAGGGGGAGACAGAGGCAAGAGGGAGAAACAGGAGGAGGCAGCTGTGTGAGAGGGGACTGCCACTGGCCTGACAGTCAGGAGACCTCGCTTTAGGCCTGCCTCTGACACTTACGATGAAGTCATAGGCTAGCCATTTTAGATCTCTAGGCCAAATTACACAGGGTCATAGATCTAGAGATGAATGGGACCTTAGAGATCAGGTCATCCAGGCCCCTCACTTTTACAGGTGAGATAACCAAGGCTTATCTCAGAGACCACCAAACAACCCTCCTGAGAGAGAGAAAGAATGGGGTTAGCCTCAGAAAATTAAATGACTTTCCCAAGTTTGCCTGGGCAATAAATGACAGAGTTGGGATTATAACCTAGCTGCACTGACTCCAAATTAACTGCACTTTCTTCACCTTTAAAATAAGGGGGCTGAATGAGATGAACTCTAAGGATAATTCTAGCTACAAAATTCTGTGATTATACAATCTCCTTCTCACAGCTCCTCACCCGTTCATCCCCTCTGGTGGACTCGTTGTCCAGCAGGGGCTCCCCAGGGGCCTGTATCGTCACTGATTTGTCTCCTCGGCTTCCATCCCTACTCTTGGAGCGGTGTCTGTCCCGCCGGTCCCTGTGGTAAAAAGGGAAGGGAGCAGACGTGAAAAGTCAGAGAGGAGAAAATAAATGTCACGTTCAGGCCCACCCTCACCTCATCGGCCCTCTCATTCTGACAGGCTGCCTTATCTGACTCCTTCCCTCTCCCTAACTTCAAACAGAGGCTTCTCTCTCTCTCTCTCTTTGGGTCCCCTGCCCTCCCATCAGTATCCATCACACCCACCTGTGCTTCCGGGAGCTTCGGGAGTGGCCAGACTTGTAGGAGTAACCGGAGTACTGGGACTCGGTGTCCATGGCCTCAGAGCGCCTTGCCTTATAGCGCTCCAGGGCCGTGGGCTGGGGCCTCTTTGGGGGCCCCAAGACCACTTCCTTCAGCTCTGGCTTCTTCAGGCCAAGAGGCACCTTCAGGAAGTCAACTGTCACCCTGAGGGACTCTATTTTGCTGGGCGGGTGGGCGCGTCTCAGAGAAAACTAAGCGGCACTCCTAACAGAAAGAGAATGGGATTAGATATGGCAAGTGTACATCATCCAGGAGCTCAGGATGAGAATGGGAGACAGGCAATCAGGTCTCAAAACTTCTGACCCCAACCCAGTTTCTATCCCTGCCCTCAGAGAGCTCAGAGAAGTCAAAGACTACCCAGGCCTTAGTTTCACAACCACCCTAATCTGTAAAATGGGTATAAGGATGCCCAACTCTTTCCTTCTAGAGAGATATAAGGAAATAAGAATGACCCTAGATAGGATAGAGCTGATATTCAAAGCTGAACCCCTTCAAACCTTTAAGAAGGCTTTCCAAGTCCTTCCTACTGTTGGCATCTTTTTTCTGAGATTACCCCCCATTTACTCCATCTTTATCTTGTATGTACATATGTTGCTTACATGTTGTTTCCCCCATTAGAACATGAGCTCCTGGAAGACAAGAACAATGTTTTTGCCTTTCTTTGTTTCCCCAGAGCTCAGCACAATGCTCAGAACATAGTAAGCCTTTAAAAAATGCTTGTTGACTGACTCATTGATTCTCCCACTGAAACAGAACAGCACAACAGACTATGTGCGGAATGGAGCCCCTCCACCTTCAATATCACTTCTAGCCTGTGAAGGATTGAGATTCATGGAGAATCTCCCAACCTAGGTGTGGACAAAATCCAGCTCCAAAATCACGTCATTTCCACCCAGATGTCCCACAAGCATCTCAAACTCAACAAGTCCAAAACAAATCTTGTACTATTTCCAGCTAAGCCCATCCTCCTAACTTCCCTCCCCATTCCTGCTGAGGCACCACTATGCTTTCAGTCTGGGGTTCATGACCTCAGTATCCCCCCCTACTCTTCATTCTTCTTCACCCAATCCAGTAGTCTTGTCAATTCTACCTCACATCTCTATCAGGGAGCTCTGGAGGACCACTTATATTGTGATACTGAGCCAGTCACAACTCTCAGCCTCCAGAGTCTTCCTTCCCAATGTAAAATGAAGGGGTTAGATCAAATGACTGTCAAGGTCCCTTCCAGCTCTAAATCTATCATCCTATGCTTTTTTTTTCCATCAGTGACTCCACTCCTCTTCTCTCTCACTCTCTACCCTGTCCCTCAAGGAAAAAGTCAGAAAAACTTTCTGACAAGGCTATTAAACTTCAGGTATGCCAGATGGGAAAAGTTCTCAAGGCACTAAGGGCTGGATGGAGCACAGGGGCCGGGACAGTCTTCCCAAGAAGATCAAGACCTATCTGGAGGATCCCAGTATTGGGTGTCAGGTCGATGTTGCCCATTTACAAATGACCCAGAAAGGCCTGGATTCCCAGGAGATAACAACCCATGTTAATGACTCCACAACTCCTGTGAAGATCTGGGAGGATTACAGAATTAATGGAAACTCAGAGGCCATCCAGTTCAATCCATACACGAAAGCAGGAATCCCCTCAACAACATCTCCACCATGCATTCAGGCAGCCTCCATTTGAAAGACTGGCGAAACTACCAACTCCCCATTTCACTTTCCGACCACTTAATTGTTAGGAAGCTTTTCCTCATATCCAGCCAAAATCTGCCTCAGCAGCTTCTACTTTTTGTTCTTTTTTTTTGGGGGGGGGCTAGGCAATGGGGTTAAGTGACTGGCCCAGAGTCACACAGCTAATAAGTGTTATGTGTCTGAGGCCGGATTTGAACTCAGGTCCTCCTGAATCCAGGGCCGGTGCTCTATCCACTGTGCCACCTAGCTGCCCCCTACTTTTTGTTCTTAATTCTACCTCTGGAGCAAAAAAAAAAAAAAGAATAAATCTAATTCTTCTTCCACATGGCAGTCTTGCAAACAAATGAAAATAGCCATCATAACCCACCTAAACCTTCCCAAGTCTTCTCAGCAGGCTAAACACCTGAGTTCCTTCTACCACAGATTCTCATGCTACATGAACTCCAGGGCCTTCCCAATACTCCAAAGCTACCTCTGGACATACTTTCTTTTGTCAAATGTATTGACCAAATGCTATATAAATACAGGATTACAGAAATGGTCTGACCAGGGTGGAGTACAGTGAGATGATCACTCATGTAATTTGCTTTTAATGAAAATGAACTAAGCATTTACTATGTACAAGGTGCTGTGCTACACACTGGTGACAGAAAAGTAAAATTACCCAAAGGCTATAAAACTGTGCCTGTCCTTTGATCCGGCAACACCACTTCTAGGTCTGTACCCCAGAGATCATAAAACAGGGAAAAGGACCCACATGTACAAAAATACTCATAGCAGCTTCTTTTGTGGTGGCCAAGAATTGGAAATGGAGACGATGCCCATCAACTGGGAAATGGCTGAACCAGTTATGCTTTATGAATATAATGGACTATTGTGCTCTAAGAAATCATGAGCAGGCAGACTTCAGAAAAACCTGGAAAGACCTGCAAGAACTGATGCTGAGTGAAGTGAGCAGAACCTGGAGAACACTGAACACAGTGACAGCAACATTGTGCAATGACCAACTTTGATGGACTTAACTCTTCTGAGCAACACAATGATCTAAGACAAGTCCAAAAGACTCATGACGGAAAATACAATCCACATTCAGAGAAAGAACTATGGAGTCTGAAGGAAGATCAAGGCATACTATTTTCTCTCTTTTTGATTGTTTTTTGTGTTCTCTTTCTTATGGTTTTTCCCTTTGCTTCTGATTCTTCTTTACAACACGACTAATGTGGAAATATGTTTAATATGATCATACGTGTATAGCCTATATCAGATTGCATGCTGTCTTGGGGAAGGGGGGAGTGAAGGAGGGGGGGGAAATTTTAGAACTCAAAATCTTATAAAAGCGAATGTTGAAAACTAAAAATTAATTAATTTTTTAAAAAAGTAAAAATTAAATTACACTCGCCCTCCAGAAGCTTACATTCTACATAGAAGATACAACATGGACACACAAAAGTAAATACAAAGTAATTTTAATTACGATTCAATGGGTAGAGAGCAGAAGTGTGCTGGTAAATGTTTAACAACCAGCTCTCCACAAAAAAAAAATGTAGGTTAGACACACTTTTAAGTTTAATCTGCATTAAGGCTTTCTCCATCACTTTCTTGAGTCTAGATAATCAACAAAAGAATTAAGGAAGCCTTGATTTGTAGTTTTTCCAAGGTGTAAATGCTCATACTGAAAATTTAATGATCTGTTTCCCAGGTAAGAGCTGGCTCTAGCACACCCTTGGTTGAGTACTCTTAGGCACCAGATAGCATCTATTCTCTACCTGCCTTCAGACTCTTTCTTCATCCTATATACTTGCTTATGTATCTCTTACACAAAGGGTGCTCAAAAATCATTTCTCTGGGTCTCATTTCCTTAGTGTCTCTATTTAGTACACCTACAAATCAATGACCTCAGTAGGGTTTGTTTGGAGGTGGGAGAGAGAGGAGAGGAGGAATAGAGTCACTGATGAAGGAAATCATAGGTGCAAAGATTCAGAGATGGAGGAGACCTTTAGAGACTGAATTTTGATCCAAATTCTTCACTTTAAAGCAGAAAGGAAAATAAGAAGATTCATAGAGGTTAAGTGATTTACCCAAGGTCACCCTGATATAAAGTGGTACCAGATTTGGATCCACATTCTCTGATTTCAAATCCATCACTCCTATCACTGCAGAACGCTGCCTCCCATAGGGGGATCGGGAAGACGCTGAAGAATTTGAAGCTCTGAAACAGACAAGACCAAACTTTTCCCATGGTGAGATAAGTAGGTAATGTAGTAAATAGATAGTTGGTCTTGGAGTCAGGAAGACTTCAGTTCAAGCCTTGCCTATGACAAACGTCATTTAATTTCTCTGTGGCCCCAGGCAACTCTCTAAAACATTAAGTGAAAGAGAAGCATTGGTTGGAGAAGTGATTTCATCACTGAAAATTTCCTACACCCATGAAATTATAGGTCTAGTCCCAAAAAAAAAATGACCCAGTGAAGGAACAATGTTATGGTAGGCCAGAAAATATCTGGATCTTTTTATTGTTGTTTTGTTGTGTTTTTCATGGTGGTTCTTTGGAAGATCCTTAAGGCTCATATTCACAGCCCACTCTTACTCTAGACAGACCCCTTCCCCCTGCTGGGGCACCTACCACATCCCATCCCAGTCCTTTTTCTGGGTCCCTGCCTTCCTCCATATCCCCAATGCTTCCTTTCCCTCTCATCCTTCCACTCCTAAAATCAGGAATCCTCTGCTGAAAACTTCCTGCCACTTAGCCAATCTCTTGTGGCCACCCACCAGTGACATCAGAGGCTGGGGAAACAGTCAGATCACATCCCTCCCTATTAAAAACAAAAACCTTTGAGTTTGCCTGTGCTACTTTGTTGTATAATGGATTTAAGGAGTGAATAAAGCTGGTCATGAACCTGTATGAGCCAAGTCCAGAGAGCAGACTCTTGCAGAACCACAATCTCCCTCCTCTTGCCATAGCCAGAAGTTCATTGCTTGCCAAGAATCCAGAAACTTCCCTGCTTGTATCTTTCATCTCCCCCATCCATTTAGGTACATCCTTAAATGATCCTGCCCAAACACAGGTATCTCATTTTGGGCCTCCTGGCCTCCCTTATGTTAATCAAAACACATTAAGAAGTAAGAACCTACAGATCTAGCATCACTGACCATCTACCTCTTCTGGGAAAGTCTGAGCAACTGCCGTAGACTGGGACAGTGGCCACCCACACATACTTAATCTGGTCTGTTTCCCTTCTCATACAGTTAATTGGCATATTTCTTGAAATACCTTTCTTCCCTCTTCTCAACTGATCCCTATCATATCCATTCTTTAAGGCTATGCTCAAGCACCATCTGTTTTAGAAATCCTTTTCATACCATCCCAGCCTGCGCTCATGTCTCTATTTGCTGAATCCTTCCATCTAGTCCTAATCTTTCTCCTGACCTGCAGACTTACATCTCCAATTGCCTCCAAATGACATCTCAAACTGAATATCCCACAGACATCTTAAACTCAACAGTCTAAAACTGGAAATCATCGACAAAGGGAAGGCACTAGAATTAAGAGGGATAGAGAAAGGCTTCCTGTAGCAGGTAGGATTTTCACTGGGACTTGAAGTAAGCCAAGAGTAATATGTAGAAAAACTGGAAAGGGAATAAGAGGGCAGACTGTGAAGAGATTTAAATGCCAAACAAAGGAGTTAAAATTTGATTCTAAAGGTAATAAGGAGCCACTGGAATTTATTCAGCAGGGAGACGACATGATCCTACCTGCACTTTAGGAAAATCACTTTGGTAGCTAGGCAGAGGATGGACTGGAGAGAGGAGTGACTTGAATCAGGGAGACCAAACAGGCTTCTGCAATTAAGAGGTGATAAGAGCCAGATTAGGATGGTTCATGTATGAGTGAAGAGGAAGGGACGGATGTATGCAACAGATGCTGTGGAGAGAGAAATACAAGATTTGGCAGCTATGTTGGATTGAAAATAGAACAATATAGAGAATTCCGTTTGATGACCTGGTTTTTGTTATCAAGTGAGACATAAAAGAGACAGTGTTTGCAACTGTCATGGAGAATGCCCATCAAGGAGACCAAATGGGAGACAGATTCCCTATAGAGATCTTCCAGGTGTTCCTGTTTTGGGATGAGACATTGTACACTGACTGTGCCCCCACCAAGCCAAGAGGTCATCTTGTCCATCCCCCTGGATCAGAGACAAAGAGAGAAAGAGAATTGTCTGTTTTCAAGAATCACCAAAGGAAAAGGCAGTGTGGTGCAGTGGAATAAATATTGTCTCTGGATTCAAAGGAAGTGGATTTGAAGCATACAAATGACAATTATGACCTGTGTAGCCTTAAGAAAATCATTTAACTTTCCTGGGACTCAGTTGACCAGAATGCAGTTCCTTCCAGCTTTTAACCCTGTAGTCTTCCTCTCAGAAACCCATTCTAGTGTGTTATATACTTGCCCAGCCCCTAAGTCAGGAAACTTGTCTGCTCAGGTAAGTAAAGAGAATCTATTCCTTTGATCTTTCTTGACAAGTAAAACTTACCCCATTTTACAGAAACAAACTGGGATCCATTGAGGGCAATCAACTCACAGGGGACAGTGCTATATATTGAAGGAAGAAAGGTTCAAAAAATTATGGCTGCATGGATTAAACCTAAGAAAGCCCCCCATCTCTTATGTTAGGTCAGGTAATCAGTCTGCTATGGCCCACTCACCAAAGATGTGATGCATTTTCAGCATGGGTTCAAAGTAACTTCCTAAATAGAACCTAGGATTTCTGGATTCTTTAAAATCAATCTTCAGAATTGTGATTCAGTGCTCTCTCTCCAGACCAAACAGATATGGGTTTCTAGGGAAAATTCACTGTCTCACAATCAATAATTTTGTCCTAAGTTCCTGGAAGGCAAGCATTTTTATTCATTTATTCATTCATCATTCATCAAACACATATTACATACCAACTGTTTTCAGAACATTCATTCCTCCAGTCTTCAAAACTTCTCAGCATCAGCACCTGCCCTCTCTTTTGGTCACAGAACCAGCTGTATTCCTAAGCCTCATTAATTCTTAACCCTTACCTGTGCCTTTGATGCTCATCTCTCCCACCCAACTACTCTAGGACCTAGCTCTAGAAGCTATCCATTCTCTCCTGAACCTTCAATCTTTCCCTCTCCATTATCTCTTTCTCATCTGCTTACAAACATGTTCAGGTCCCTCAAGAAGGGAAAAAAATTTCTCATTTGATACTACCCCACCTCTCTTCTCCCTTTCCAAACTAAACTTTTAGGGAAAGTTCTCTACACTTGAAGCCTCTGTTTCCTCACTGCACACTTTCTCCTAATCCCTTGTTACCTAGCTTACATTTCTATATACTAAAACTTCTCTTGCAAAGGTTACCATAGAATAGATCTCCTACTCCCTAGAACTAAAGGTCTTTTTTTCAGTCCTGATTCTCTCAACCGTTCTCTAGCTTTGGACAGTTTTGTAACTTCCTCCTACTGGATATGTTCTCCTCTCTTGGTCTGAAAGATATCACATGCTCTACAGTTATCCTAAGCCTCTATAACTACTCTTTTTCTGTGCCCTTTACTCATCCTCTTCTTTATCTCCTTAATGTGAGTGTTCCCAAGGGTCTGTCCTTGGCCTTCTTCCCTCCCATGACAACTCACTCCCAGGGTCTTACCTTCCACCTTTATACAGATCACTCTCAGTTCTATATGCCCTGTCCTGACTTTGTTCCTGAATGAGAGAATTCAAGAAGCTGTAAGCAAAAGTTTCAGAGAAAATCAGAATCTAAAATGATGGGCATACTATTATGTTCCACAGAAGAAATCCCAAAGAGGACAAGAAGATGCCTGTACTTCCTGCCCTAGGTGCCAGCAAGTAGCCTCCAAGGAAGCCTGCTAATTCAGACAGTGAAGGATGCTGAACTTTATCAGAAAGACCTCTGGGTGGTCTCAGAGAGAGAGGAGGGAAGGAAAAGAGGAAGAGATAGAATTTGGAACTCAAAAAAATTGTTTTAAGTTTAAAAAACTGTTTTAGCATGTAACTGGGAAAAAATAAATTATTATTAAAAAAAGAAAGAAAGACCTCTAGCTAAACATTTTTAGGGCGCATCTCTCCTTCCATTGTCCCCTAGATGGACTCAATCCACATGAGCATCTCACAACTGGGCCCACAGCTTGGCCCATCCCTGGTATGTAGACAAACTTTAAAAATGGTCCATACCTTAGCACTCATTCTTGTCATGGCCCCCATAAGACATGAAGGGAGAACCTAACACTGGCTGATTTTATGAAGAGAATCTCTTCATGTTACTACCCTAAATTAAAAAAAAAATCTTCAGTGGCTCCCTATAATCACCAAGTAAAGTTCAATGCTTCTGTCTAGCACTCCAATATCTCGAACTTCTTACATTCGAAGCATTATCTCATCTTATTCCCCTGCATAAATCTTAGGTTAGCCACAACCACACAAGACCCGCCTGCATTTTTCCACCTACTTCTCTGCCTTTGATCACATGGTTCTCAGTGCTTGGAAAGTCTATCCTCTCTTGGCTTTACCCATCTTTTAATGCTCAAATCATTATCAGAGCTCTCTAATATGAAAGACAGCCTGTACTAGAGTGGGAACCTGAGATAAGGAGAAATGTGGGGAATCTGGGATCTGCAGGGCTTGGAAACTGACAGGATATAAAATTAGATATGAGTGACTGAACAGTTTCCAATAGACAATACTCTATACAGAGCTCTAATCTATACATTAAAAAAAAGTCTGATTCAATTCTTTTCAGCAAGTGTTTATTACCCCTCTCCTTAACAAGGAAAGATACAAAGCTTAAACAAGGCTGTGTCCTCCCCCTCATAGAATTTGGTACAAAATAAGCTAACACAAAATATTACATGATAAGTACTGCATTGTCAGGATTAAGAGGCAAAGCACTGAGGAGGGGATGTTACGCATAGAAGGGAAGACTTCAGGTCTCTAGATAGTTAAAAATAGAAAAGAAAAAAAAGAAAAGTTAAAATAAAATAAAGAAAATTTTAAAATAAAATTTTAAAGGCAGTATTTTATTTGAGACTAAAAATAAATAGGAATGCAATAGGCAAAGGGGGGGTAGGGGGAGCATTCCAAACATAGGCAAAGGTATAAGCAAAGGCATGGAGCTAGGAAATTACAGTACATTTAAGGGGCTGAAAATAAACCAGTTTGACTAGAGCATAAAGCCTGAAGCTCCTCCCCATTTCTTCCTACACACTCCCCCCCCCATGCCAGTGCATTGCACATAGCAGACACTTAATAAATTTGTGTTATCGATCAATCCAGGTCTCCTAAGAGGTAAGGCTAGATGAGTCACAGCTCTGGGAACAGACACATTCCAGTCCCAGATCTTCCTCAGAGACTCCAGGGAAAGAGAGAGACTGAATCCCCAAGATTTGGTGGAGTCAGTAAAATCAGACATACTCAGATAGACAGAAGTACACTCTAGCCCAGATGCCTACCCACTCTGACAGATAGATACACATATATACTCCCTGGCTAGAAAAGTCACTTCAAACACACGCAGAAGAGAGGCTGATAGGGTTGTGTTATCCCCACCGATAAATTTTAAAAACAGACACAGGGCCAGCCACCAGCACCACCCTCCCCCTAGTCCTTTGTTCTTGCCTGTTCAGCCCACAGGCCCCTTCCCAGCCACCCACCCTTACCCCCTGCCTGGGGAACAGGCTTAGGCATCCACCTCCTATCCCAAGCTACTCTTAAAGAGACAGCAAGATCCATTCTCTTCTACCATCCCCACCATCCTCATGCACTAACTAACCTCCCCCCAAAAAAATAGGACAGGGTACCCAGAAAGCCCCAAATACCACCCACCAAAGGTTACTGAAAGTCTAGGACCCAATCCAAAAGTCTTGGACCCAAGCTTGCTGCTCCCCGCAACACCCAACCACCAACCCAGTCACAATAGAAAGGAAAAGGGAGGAATCCTTCCCTATTTAAGTTAGTCCCAGGGATTGGGCATCAGTGTCTCCAGGGTAGGCAGGATTCTCAGGAAAGGGGGTGGGGACAAGAGAGAGCAAGCAACAAGTGGGAATGTTGAAAGGGAGAGGGGGAGGGAATTATGGGCTTGGGGCGGAGCAGGGAGCTCGGAGGGATAAGAGGGGGCCTCTAAATTGGGACTCCAATCCCTGCTCCAACCTGTCTTCCCCTCCAAAAAAACCTAATTCTCTTTAACAGCCCATATGGGGTTAAAGAAGGCCAGAAGGAGGGAAAAGACCTTTCACAAAAAGAGGGGGGAACCCCCCTGTCAGAAATAAAATTAATGGAATGTCTTAGCCTCATCCCGAGGGAGTTGTGGGGGGGGGGTCTTTTGTCCCTGCTGCCCAGCTTCTCCCACATTGATCACCATAGCAACCAAAGCCCCCTGTTGCCTAGGTGATGGCAGCCAGGTCCTGGAACCCATACCCAGCATCCAAAGCGAGAGAGGTTATGGGGATGGGGTAGGGGAGAGGTTAGGGACTACAGGAAAGAATGGGGTTTCTCCTTCTTTAGCCCCAGCTTTTGTGTGGGCTCTGGGATCAGATTTCTCCAGGAAACAATTGAAGCAAAGGCCCCAGAAAAAAAACAAACCTAGGGCTGTAGCTCTCTCCCACCCCCGCATGTCTCCCCCACCCAAATACAGACACACACACACACACACACACACACACACACACACACACACACACACACACACACACACACACAGAAAAGCAGCCTCTGAGGCTGGAGGTGCACAGGCAGTGCTGGCCAAAACCCAATGGAAGAACAGACCCTGCCCCATTCACATTAGGCCATTCAGATTGGA